GCTAAAAACAAATGCAAAGATGGATGGGATGGATGAAGGGAGGAAAACACCAAGTCACTTTAGACCAAGGCAATGAGGCTTGATTTAAAAAATGGCCAATGCTACCTGACACCCCTTTAAACGTTCCATGACCTGACCTAGGGCACAGCATGGATCCAGGGTGGAGACAAAAAGCCACGAAGAAAATGATCTTCACATCAGTGTAAGAGCCGAGAAAGAAAAACCGACCCGGTGCTTCCTCAGATGCTGACCACAATCAGGGAAGGGGTGTGGGGACAGGAAGGCTCACACAGATGCATGAAGTTTCCCTCACAAATACCTTTCTTCCACTTTCACAGCATTTATTCCACTCTGCTTCATCCAAAAACTACAGGTTTCATGGGAAACAAAAGAACAACAATGCTCAAACACACAGTGACTCAGGTGAAGCATATTCCCGAGTCCCAGGAGTCCATATACTGCTTAACGATCTGTGTATCCAAACAGTCGGGTTTATCATTATTATTATTATTATTATTATTACCCAAATTAAAGTATCTCTAGACAGGAAGTTATTATTCTCTTCACCAAAAGACAGTTACTTTTTAATCCTTTCTCCATAAGGAAATTGAGTCCCAAGGTAAGTCATCAACCAAAACAGCTCTAAAATGTCTGTGTAATGATGAAGTCTTTAGAGCTACTCATCTGCCAAGAACTATTTACAAGCCTTGGATGCACATAGACAGCCACTAGAGACACACTTACCTGGGCATATCAGCTGCAAAGAAATTATTTAGACAGGTAAGTACTCTCTCCACCCCCACTCTGTGAACAAAATTAGAGGATGTGTTACGGTTTGATATGAAATGTGGCCGGTCAGTGGTGGTGCACGCCTTTAATCCCAGCACTCAGGAGGCAGAGCCAGGTGATCTCTGTGAGTTCGAGGCCAGCCTGGTCTACAGAGGGAGCTCCAGGACAGGCACCGAAACTACACAGAGAAACCCTGTCTCAGAAAAAAAAAAAAAAAATGAGATGTGCCCCCACTGGGTCAGAGTTTGAGCAGTTGTCTCCAGCTTGGTGACACTATTTTAGGAAGTCAGACATCCTCTGGGATGTGGTATTGTAGGCCCCTAGGGGGTTGGGGAAGGATATGGCTAGAGCTCTCTGATTCCTGGTTAGACGGAATGTGAGAAATGTGAGAAAGCCACCGTGGCATACTCACACCACCACGCCTTCTTCTCCAGGGCGAATTCCCTCTAAACCCAAAACGAACCCTTCCTCCCATGAGCTGCTTCTGTTATGTCCTTCATCATAGCAACAGAAAGAACTGTGGGGGTCTGGGGGTCCCCCAAAGGTCCAGGCATTTGGACTCTTGGTCTCCAGCAGGTGGCACTATTTGGAGTCTAGGAGGTGCACAGCATGCCATGGGAGGAGCTCTTTTGAGAGTTCAGAGCCTTGCCCCCACATCTAGTGTGCCCTCTGCCTCATGTTTTCAGTAAAAGCTCATAGCTCCCTGCTCCCGCCCCATACTGCCAGCAGCTGCCATGCCTCCTGGCCATGATGGACACCCACTGGTACCTGCTCCATGCCTCCTGGCCATGATGGACACCCACTTGGACCTGCTCCATGCCTCCTGGCCATGATGGGCACCCACTGGTACCTGCTCCATGCCTCCTGGCCATGATGGACACCCACTTGAACCTGCTCCATGCCTCCTGGCCATGATGGGCACTCACTGGTACCTGCTCCATGCCTCCTGGCCATGATGGACACCCACCTGAACCTGTTCCATGCCTCCTGGCCATGATGGACACCCACTGGTACCTGCTCCATGCCTCCTGGCCATGATGGACACCCACTTGTACCTGTTCCATGCCTCCTGGCCATGATGGACACTCACTTGTACGGAATCATGAGCCCAGCTTCCTCGGTCATGGTGTTTTATTACAACAGCCAAAAAGTAACTGATACAGGAACAGATATAGGGCTAGCCATTCCTACACACCTCCCTGTCCTACCTCCTACCAAAATAAATAAAGGAATAATAAGGCCTTAAAGTCTACCTTATAGCACAGTACAAAGAACCAAAGGCTGAGATTAGTAACAGTTTGAATACGCTGGAACAATCTAAAAATTCATGTTACTGCTCTTTGAAAATAGACTATAGAAAGGTAACTGGAGTATGAGGAGGTAGTAAGGGTTATTAATGACTGCATAACAAGAGAGAACAGGCCGGGCAGTGGTGGCGCACTCCTTTAATCCCAGCACTCGAGAGGCAAAGGCAGGTAGATCTCTGTGAGTTCTAGGCCAGCCTAGGCTACAGAGTAAGTTCCAAGAAAGGTTCCAAAGCTACAAACAGAAACCTTGTTTCAAAAAACCAAGAGAAGAAGAAGAAGAAGAAGAAGAAGAAGAAGAAGAAGAAGAAGAAGAAGAAGAAGAAGAAGAAGAAGAAGAAGAGAGATCAGCCCTACTATGCTTGCCCTGACTTGCTATGTGAAGCTCTCTGCAATGTTATGATACAGCAAGAAGGTCCTGGAAGAGATGTAGCGGACCCAGATTTGATTCTCAGAACCCATATGGCAGCTCACAACCACCTGTAACTCCAGTTCCAAGAGATCTGACACCTTCTTCTGACTTTCCAGGCACCAGGCACACATATGGTGTACATGTAAGCAAAACACTCATGCATATTTAAAAAAAAAAAGTCATTCTGTGTCTCAAAAGTGGAAGATTTTAGCAGGAACATAATGGCCAAATCATGTTTCTAAAAACTACAAAGGTAGAGTCAGACGTGGTCAACCAACATTTGATTCCAGCACTTGGGAGGCTAAGGAAGGTGGGTCTCTGTGAGTTCAAGGCCAGCCTCATCTACGTAGAGATTTCCAAGCTAGTGGGGCTGCACAGTGAGACACTATCTCTAAATTAATAAATTAATTTTAAAAATAAGACTTATAAGGGTGAAAGACACTTGGAAGGGTCTTTGGCAAGACCATAAGAAGCATCACACAAGTCCCTGCTGTGGTGCTAAAGGCTGGATCTGAGGAGAGAGAGGAGGGTATGGCCACACAGCAGGTAAGGAAACGTGATCTAAAGCTCTGCAGTGTGTCTTAGATACAGAAAGCCTTGTGGAGCAGGGGTCTTGTGAACTCATAATTACTGCCAGCTTTTAGCAATACCTGATACAGAGGAGGCTTCTAACAAGTTATTTTTAATTAAAGTACTGTTGTAACTCTTATTCATAATTATTCTTAAAGCCAATAGCAAATTTCCCAGCTGATGATCACTACCAATAAGATAAAAAACTAGAATTTTCCCATGATGAGAATGTGTACTCATATTCCTGTGCCATTTTGGTATTCATGAACTTCATCAACAAAAATATACTAAGTCTTGGGATGTCATGTTAGGGACATAATGTTCGTCAACAAAACAGATGTAGTTTCTTTCCTTACAGACATTCTGTTCTAGTCAGTGTCCCTGGCTCTGGGCTGGAGCACGGGCCTTTGGAGTGGCCTTGGGGCTTGCATTATTATTTCCTCTACCAAGTAATCAGACATTTCTGAGACACGTGATTGATCTCTTCAGATCTCTACTTAAATGGCCCCTTAGTAGAGAGACCTTTGACCATCCTGATTAAAACTGAATGTCAACTCTTGGTCCCCCTTTCTCTAAAGTCCTTCATAGCATTTATTAGACCTGACACACACACCTATTCATTTATAATGTGAAGGTCACACACCCCTGTTACATTCCTAGGACCTACAAGGGACGGGGCATAGAATTCACAGACATATGATAAATATCTACAGAATGGATGTTCTTTAAACATGCAACCACAACCTCATTTAGCATGTCCACTGCTGGGCAGTTTCACTCAAAATAACTCCTAACCCTACTGAGAAAATCCTGCACTTGTAGCTATGACATCAGGCAGTTTCCCAACTGCCTCCAACTTATCCACTGGCTTCCCCATCGGCAAACATCAGAGTGTAATTCCCACTTCACATTCTAGATCACTAATGTGTCCATTTCTACCAAGACCAGGAGCAGCCTCCATGATAAACACTTTCTGATCTTCCCGGGATAAGAGTGAACCACAGTCAATATCTGGACATGAAGCTGGGGGTTGACTCCCATGGTCACCCAGGAACATATTTTGTAGTGTCACAAACTGGACCTCAAGGATTCATTAAAACCTCCCTGGAAGGGAAGGACAGTCAAGCCTGTCCCAGGCTGATCACAGGCCCTGCCACACCCCCAGATCACCAATCCTTTTCCATTCTTTCCAGATGCAGCCACGTCTGGGCACCATATAGCATACAGAATTATTTTGTTAACTAAACCATCCAGCCAATCAGACTAGACTACAGCTAAGTTTTAAAATGTAATCCTTCATCATTTTTCTCCACCCTGGCTTTATCCCCCACCTGCTCATCTGATGTACTCATAAAAACTGAAGGATAAAACCACAGCACCTGCTAGCTCACCATTTCACAATCGCAATCCCACAGACAGTCACCAACACATAAGCTCCCACTGAAGGCAAGGCTCACGGAGACTTTCAGATACTCGGCCCGTCCCTGAAATCTTAACTTTCCTTGCACTTTGTGACCTTAGCATCTGTCTTTAAACTACTTACAGAGCTTCTTGACAGGAATGAAAAATGCATTCTTCCCTACAGATACGCTATTTAGTTTCTTTAGAGGGAAAAACTTTGATTTTCTCCTCTTAGTACTTCCAGCCTCCAAGCATCACTTTCTCCTCCAGGTGCTCCTCTAGTTGGCTGAAATCCCTTTAAAAGAGGTTCCCTTTGTTCTATGCACTCCAGTCCCTGGTTCATGATCTGTTTCACCAGTGAAAGCGGTAAGCTGCTGGGCACCTCCCACTCCCACAATTCTGGTTGCTCATTAGTATAATTGATATTAATTACATCCTATCCGCTTTGCCCGGTGCTGTTAAGGTCATATACCAAGTCAGTAGACCTGCCATTAAAGCATTCTAGAAAGTTCCAGTCACTGTACCTGAATAAGCTCAGTGCTTCTGAAAGAAGGGGTGAAGAGGATGTTATCAATGTTGCATTAATCTCTTGGTCTTCGCTGAGACAGGGCAGACCTGAAAAGAAAAAACAAACTGTCACCACTCTAGGGATTGGGAAAGAAACCCAGTTGTCCCCTTTCCCATCAACAAAGATTAGAGTTCTAAGGAGACCCCCTGTCCCCATCCACACACTACAGTAGGCAAAAAAACCATCGCGCCTTCAACCACTTCTTAATGAATTCCAAATTTGCTGCTCAGTGATAATAAGGGGGAAGCCAAGCCCTAATGTAGGCTGAAGAGCTGAGAGTGGGTTGTGGCGGTAATAAGGTGAGCAGACATCGATCTAGAGAAAAATCGTTGATAAACCTCTGATTGTTCCTATCAGTTGGCATGAGTTCATTTGACCTAAAAAGTGCTTGAGAATTTTGCCTTTTATCCCTTAAGATGTCCACGGTAAATGAAGTCACCTCCTGAACAGTCCACTTAATCTTCTCAATTACAATATCGGCCACTAAATGATTTCATGCAGATTGTTTTAAAAACTGGATCTGAGATAGCTTCTCTGAAAAGCAGCAAAAACTGTTGCTTCATCTGGTTACTGTGGTGAGATCAAGAGATAGAACGCGCTCTAGTAGATGTTGTGAACGCTAACAGTTCAGTGGTTTGACTATCATTCAAAGTCTGTGGCAATCTCATTCCCTTCCTTGTGGGAAGGGGTATGATCTCTCTCACATGGTTCAAAACTCCACAACTGTACAAAGAGTGACACCCCAACCCAACCCCTGTCCTCCCCACTTCTCTCCTCTAACCCACACCATCTCTGTTTTCTTTCCGATAAAAAATTAGAGTTCTCCTAACTTCTAAATGAATGCCACCACACAATGCACTGTCCCACACATTCATAGGCTTGAACCATAAAGAGATGCCTGAGACAGGAAACTGTCTCAAGCAATTATGAGCGCTACAGGAAGCCATTAAAGGACCGGACCACCACTTCCCTTACTTACAGTCTCTACTATCAGCTGTCCTCACACTGAGCACAGGGGTAAGGCACATTGCACAATCTGAACGGCTGAGTCAGAAGGATGCGCATCTGCAACTTGGAAGAAGGTTTCCAGATGACCCTCCAGAGAGGCCTGAAGCACGTGACCCACCGCCAGCCCAGAGCAGGCTGTCCACACACTTTTAACCACTGTCTTTTCAAAAATGGAGGCCAACTCTCGGCCAACGGGAGAGTGAGAAGTTGTATTTGTGTATCTCGATTGCTTCTCCTAATGATACCTGGAATTCTATTTTTTTAATTACATAGACTGAGCAGGTTGTATTTATGTATATAGCAACAACTAATGGAAAAAGAGACCACAGATTTGAGAAGTAAGAAGGAGTATATTGGAGGGTTTGGAGGGAGGAGAAGGAGGGGAGAAAAGGTGTGATTACATTATAATCTCAAAAGTTAAAAGAAATTTAAAAATTAGCTTCTCAGGGTTACCGAGCTGGCTCAGTGAGTGAAGGGCTTGCCACACAAGTGTGAGGGCCTGAGGTCAGAGCCTCAGCACCTACACAAATGCCACACAAGCATAGTGGCCTGCTTGCAACTCCAGAGGTAAAGACAGGAGATCCACACGCCACACTGGGTACTTAGAATACACAAGTCAGTGAGCTCTGGTACAAGAGACCCTGCCTCAATATATAAGGTGGAAATGATGGAGGAAGACTCCCATATTGATCTCTGGTCTACACACACACACACACAAAAAAAAACCTGCACACAAATACACATCATTTACACACTCACAAACATCTGCACACTCACAAACACATATACACACATACTCACAAACATATACATACACTCAAACACATACACACACTCATACACACACACTCACAAACATACACAGACACACACACACAGGTACGCACAAATACACACACATATGTATACAAGCAAAATAATTAGTTTCTCTTTAAACATTACTAAAACTGAGTCTGGTGAGATGACCCAGCAAGGTAAGCACTTGTCACACAAGCCTACCTACGGGTCTGAACTCATCCCAGACACTCAAAGGTGGAAGAGAGAACAGACTCCACCAAGTTCTCTGACCTCCATACACACCTACACACCTACACACACACACACACACACACACTAATAGCAAATAAATATACATCTTTTAAAGAAAACTCACTTTCTTCCTCTAGATCCCCCTGCACAGCAGCCACGCTGCAGTTGTTACCTCCTAAGCGGGGAAGATGGGAGTGGGGGGGACATGGACGAACGCACTTCGGGGAAACTCCTTCCCTCCACTTACAAAACTGTGTGACAATCAGATGCAAAGGCATGTCAGTGCTCAGGAGAGGCTCCGGTACCCTCGCCTTCCTCGGATGCCCAGGGCGCATTTCCTGAGCATTGCTCCAGCATCATCACATGTTCCTCTGGGCCTCCTGGGATGGAGACTGTTTCCTTCACCTCTGCATCCTCCACCATGTCCAGCATTCTCACTCCAGTGTGGGGTGGAAGATTTGAAGAATGAATGTATAATGGTATACATGTTCTTTTTTTAGAGATTTGTTTTATTTTCGTTTGCCACATGTGTGGGGTACATAAGGAAGCCAATAGAGGATATCAAATTCCTGGAGGTGGAGTTAACAGGCATCTGGGATCCACCTAACTTGGGTGCTAGGACTGGATCTCAGATCCTCTGGAAGAACAGTAAATGATCTTAAGTCCCTCTCCATTCCTCTTGGATATGTGTTCTTAAATGTCCCAAACAACATCACAAATCCAGTGCTGAGAAAACTAAGATCAAGATCTAGAAACTCGTGACCCTGGAAGTACACACCACAACTCCATAAACACCGATCAATCTTCCATTGGCTGTGACTCAAATGACTAAGAGGCATAACTGAGATTAAAATATTTTTTTTAATCCACTGTGCTCAGGCCCAGCAATTCTTCAAAAAGATCACCAACGTCTTTACTAAAGCAAGGTCGGACAATTTAAAAAGAACAGGCTATTGTTAAACAGTGACTAGATCGGCCGAAAAGAAATGACATTAACAACCACGGATGCCGGGCCATGGAAACACTCACGTGCTCCTGGAGGAAATGTCCGCCAGCACAACCACCTGTGAACCCTGTTTAGAGGAACATATGTGAACCTGTGGCTAACAACTCTGCTTTTAGGTGTGTGCTTGTGTGGTGACCAAAGCCACGTACAGGAGAGCACTCACAGCAACACGCCCCCCCACCCCCACCCCCGCCAGGGGAAAACCCTACATACATCAGTAGTAGAATGGACACATTTTCACATAATCAGACAACAGAATTCTAACAGCATCAAGAATGAACAAACAACAATGGCACACCGAGACAAAGTGAATCTTCCAGATCGGAATAGTCTACTGCAGATCCAATTCACATCCCTATTGCCCGGCCAAGCAGAGCTGATCCGACGGCATTACAGCTCTGCGGAACTGGGAGTGGGGCTTCTGAAGCATGATACTCGGTTTCGCGGTCTAGATACTGGTCACAGAGATGCAGCCAGTTCCTGAAAGCTCTTTAAGCTATCTGTTGAGTTCTTCATGCTTTTCTGCATGGGCGTTACAGCTCAATGAAAACTTTACCTAAAATAAAGGGAAATGGGCTAACCCTCTAGAAAAGAGAATGTTCTCTTGGAAATGGCTTTCGTGAATAAATGTTTTTTAAATGCTGTGGTGACTGTCACCTACCTGCAAAACCCAACTGGCTCACACTGGTTTGACCCAGGAGCCCACTGTCAGGAGATGTCACACAAAGCAATTTTCTACTTCTGAGAAAAAGTAGGAGTCACAAATAGCATTTTTTTTTTAAATTAAGAAACAAGATGAATAAAGAAGGTGGGCTATATAGGTAAGGGTGATAGAAAAAGATGAAAAGACAATACTATACTACCCTGAAAACGGTACTTAAATAGCTTTTACTCTTTAGAGGCATCTTCTCTTGAACTACCAGGAAAAAAAAACCTATTTTTTCCAGTGTAGATATATGCCTCCACACCCAGCTTTCCCCCAATATTGTTTTAAAACACTGCCCAACAGACAGAGAAAGCAAGAATTTGAACCACGGGAGTGGTAATTATTGGCAAGCGCAGGTGTCTGAACAGAGGGAAGCTAAGGGAAATGAAACACAAATCCTTCCGCCTCATTAGGTTTCTAAAAATATTCTCAAAATACAAAGGCATGGGTGCTGAATAAATGAATGAGAGATGTAATCAAAGGGGTTTTTGTGAATCTTGACCACAGCCCAGACGCAATTATTTTGAAGATTCAAAAAGAAAAAGAAAAAAAAGAGGAAAAAAAAAAGAAAACAAAACAAAAAGACATGATGTTATGAACCAGGCCAGCGGGACTTAAAATAAGCAAAGAAATTGGACAAAACAAAATCAATGTGCAGGCACAGTGAGGGCAGACTTAAAAAAATATTGTCCATATTTAGCTAAGAAATACAAAAATAACAGGCGCTCTGAGGCCATGACCAGACCCAAAGGCTTCTGTTCTGAACTGGGTGTTAATTCATTTTGAATTTGATTCCCACGGGACTCAGGAGGGAGGAAAAGGAACAAGCTTGTGCACCCAGGCAGCCGCCAGGAGGAGGTGACCCTCCACTTCCTGCTGTACCAGGAGGTACCAAGCCTAGGACGAACTGGAATCCACACAGGATTCCTTCCAGCTCCCATTGGTCAACGGACCAAACTCGTTTTACACAGATGCGTCCTCAAGTAGGTAGGTGTTGCTCCAGAGCGAGGAGAGAAGATGCAGCCACGGTTTTAGTCACATCCCTAGATGTCTGTCACTAAGAGACAGTGACGTTTGCAGAAGGTGAGTAACGAGGAAAAGCAAAGCATTCAGCCAGTCAAACTTTACAACATTTTCAAATCCTGAACTAATAGTTCTTGATATGTGCAAATTTTTAATCTAATGATCTGTGCTAAACATGCTATGTAAGAAAAAGGGAAGAGCCAAAGTTACATCCATTTGCCCAGTAGCAAAGGATCTGTCCTAAAGGTGGTCAGAATCAATCAGAAATGACCTGC